TGTCCTCCATTTCTTTCGTTTGTGATCTATTTCGTCTCGGCATTTTCGCAGGCAGCTTTCCTGATGGAGCGGGGTTTCAGGGTGGAGCCTACAGCTTTGGCTTTCCTCAGCCCCGCCCTATGCGACTCCTGAGACTCAGGGTGCTTCAGTACTCCTTGCAAGCGCCTCTGAGAGAAAGGCACCCTCGATTTTCGCCTGCTGCCAAACAGTCTAGTCTCTCCCCCAATGGGCCCGAAACTGGGGTTCAGTTCAGTTGGAAGTGGAGTTGGAGGTGGCGTTCAGAGCAGACTGGAGCCCCTGTCTCCTTCCCACCAGGGCAATGCCATGGCACAGCCAACCGTCCCTTCTCTGCTCGGCGCCGCCGGGACCTCCTTTCGCCGCTCCCCCGGGGTTCCGCCTTTCAGCCCAGCTCCCTCTGGATGAGCCTGGGTCCCCGGGGTCTGGCCTAGAACTGGGGTTCAGAGCAGTCGGAACTGGGGCCCAACACAGTCATTGTTTTATCTCCTTCCCACTAGGGAACGCCAGCCAGGCAGTCAGCCGCCCTCCTCTTCGGCTCCGTCCTCTCCATGTGCCGCGTGTCTCCGTACCTTGGGCTTTTACAGCTCCTCCGTTCTTCCTTCTGGTTTCCTCCTTGCTTCTTGTTGTAGAATTTCCATTCAGTCGACTTTCCTGTAGTTCTGGGTAATGTCCATTTTATATTTTAGTTGTATTTTATTGAAATTGTTGCATGCGGCTGCGGCTAGGTGCCTACACAAGCAGCCATCTTGGATTCTCCTAATTCTTTGCTGATTTTTTGTTTAGATGATTTGTCAAAGGGTGACAGTGGGGTATTAAAATCTCCTACTATGATTGTATTGTTATTAATCTCTCCCTTAATGTCCTCCAGCAGTTTTTTTTATGTATTTGGGTGCTCCAGTATTGGGTGCATATATATTTACCAGGGTTATTTCTTCTTGTTGGATTGCTCCCTTTAGTATTATGAAGTGGCCTTCATTATCTCTTGTTATGTCCTTCACTCTGAGATCTAATTTGTCAGATATAAGTATTGCTACCCCAGCTTTCTTTTCATTTCCATTTGCCTGTAAAACCTTTTTCCATCCCTTCACCCTCAGTGTGTGTGCATCTCTTTTTCTGAGGTGAGTTTCTTGTAGACAACAGATGTATGGGTCTTGTTTTCTTATCCAATCTGTTACCCTATGTCTTTTGATTGGAGCATTTAAACCATTTACATTTAATGTTATTAATGATAGGTACTCATTTGACGCCATTTTTATTCTATACCCCTGTGTTCCTTCTTTGCTTTCTATTTCTTTATTTTTACAGTAGAACCTTTAGCATTTCTTGCATTGCTGGTTTGGTGGAGATAAATTCCTTCAGACTTCTTTTGTCTGTGAAGCTCCTGACTTCTCCTTCAATTTTGATTGATAGCCTTGCTGGGTACAGTATTCTTGGATTCAGACCCTTTCTTTGCATGACTTTGTATATTTCATCCCATTCCCTTCTGGCCTGATAAGTTTCTGTTGAGAAATCAGTTGCTAGTCTGATGGGGGTTCCTTTGTATGTAACTTTCTGTCTCTCTCTGGCTGCTTTTAATATTCTTAGTTTGTCATTGGTGTTTGCCAATTTAATTATAATGTGCCTTGGCGTTAATCTTTTGGGATTCATTTTGCTTGGGACTCTGCGAGCATCTTGGATTTGTGTGGGTTTTTTCTTCTCTATCTCAGGTAAGTTTCCTGTCATTATTTCTTGAAATACGTTTTCCATGTCTACCTCCGTTTTCTTTCCTTCCAGAACCCCTATTATTCGAATATTGTTTTGTTTTGCATTGTCCCAAAGCTCCCATAGGCTCTCCTCCTGCTTTTTAATATATTTTTTTTCTAGATGCTGCTCTAATTGAGTATTTTTTTCATCTTGTCTTCTAACTCACTGATGCGATTCTCTGCTTCTTCTAGTCTGCTCTTGATGCTTTCTATTGAGTTCTTCATAGTAGCGATGTCATTTTTCATTTCATCTTGGGTCATCTTCATTTCCTCTTGGTTTTTTTTTTTCGTTTTCTGTTGGGCCTTACTCATATTGTCAAATTTGTCTTACATTCTTTTTAGCCATCTTAATATCGTTACTCTGAATTCTTGCTCTGGTAGATTGCTTGCCTCTAACTCGTTTACTTCCTTTTCTGGTGATGCCTGCTTTTCTTTCATTTGTGGGCTGTTTCTTTGTCTCCCCATGGTCTCTCTTCAGGATGTTTCTCTCCTGTGTTGATTTATCTCTCCTGCGTTGATTTAAAGGCACAAAATACAACACAACCAGGTACAATACACAAGGCACCGAACAGAAATGTGTTTGCAATATTAATAACTTCCAATAAAGGTAACCACTAGGGAAAGGCAAATTAGGGAATAGGGGAGAAAGAGGAAGAGTAAAAAGAGAGGAGGGAGGGAGCAAAAGAAAAATATAGGAAAAAGAGTGTCAAAATGAATTTGGGGAACAGGGAGGAGAGAGGGCAGGGGAAAAAAAGGGGAACAAACTATATATATGGGGAGAGAATTTCAATTGAACAACCACTAACCCCAACAAATGGTGTCAGCAGTACCTGGAGAATAATACAATCTACAACATCCCCTAATTTCCAGCACAGTAAAGGAAAACAGAAGTAATAAAATAACAACTAACAAAAACCAATAAAAATAAGAAAATACTGAGCAATAGCAACAACAAAAGATTAAGCAAAATACTCTCACTAAAAAAGCATAAAAATACAATATAATCAACATTCCCCCAAACAGCATCGAAAGAACCATGAGGAAAACAATTTTTTTTTTTTTGCTAGTTAATACATCTCAGAGAGGGGTGTGTATGCACTTGGCACTAGGGATTGGAGATTAGTTATATAAGTAGGGTAGAAATTTTAGCAGGGAGGATACAGAGAGAGTAAAGAAATCTAAAGCAGGAAAGGGTTAAGATAAACAGGATAGCAAAAGGGGAGAGGAGTAGAAAGCGAATGATGGTGTAAAGGTCGTGTTTAGTTAGGGTTAAACAATGTTAAAGGAGAAATGAAAATAAAATGAAGAACGCTAATTCCAATTGTAAAATAAAGAGAAAATAAAATGGCACTTAAAAAATTAAAATAGCAGTGTTAAAAATGCTTATTAAACCTAAAAATGTAATAATAAAAAAGTTAAAATCTAGTGAGGAAAAAAGGGAAAAAAATGTTTCTTAAGTAAAAGATGCACAAAATGAAAAGAAAAAAAATTAAGCAAAAAAAAAAAAAAATGTCCAGTTGTGACGGCCATTCACTTCTGTTATTCTATTTGACACGCCCGTTTCTTAGTCCAACCCGTATTGTAGTTCCCTGCGTTCTGCTGCACCTCAGTGGCGATTTCTTAGTTTCTTGGTTTTTGATCAAATAAAACTAATAATAAACACAGTCAGTTTGTACTCCAGACCCTATCTGGCAGTGTATGTGGATTGATGTCCCGTCTTTTTGGTTGCTTTAGCCTTCTTTTTCTGTGGCACTCAATACCAGTTTTTTAATTTTATTTATTTTTATTTATTTATTTATTTATTTATTTATTTATTTTTACCTCAGAGCTGAATCCTGGATGATTTCTCCCTTCTCTGCTTCTCAGTTTCCAGTAAAGCAGATTCCCCCTGCTGTCTCTTAGGGTCAGCCAATCTGGGTGAACTCTCCTTTGTAATCAGAAGCAAAGTGTTGCAGGGGAACCAGCCTAGGTGCGCAATGGGCGAGTCTGCGCGCACTTACAGACTGCTTTCCAACTCCTCCGTGTGGGATCAGAATGGGTTGCTCCCTAGAGGACCCCACTAGTAGCAACCTTGGGGACCCCCATCCACTCTCTCGAATCACGCCAGCCCCAACAGTGGGGGGCTTCTGTGGACGCAGATTTCTGGGGTCCCAGCTCGCGTTTTTTTTTTCTTCTCTGCTGCCCCAGTGGCTGCTGCAGCTGCTGCTTTCACTTTCGCTTTCCCGACACAGACACCCCGCGTTATCCCTGGCGAAATCCAACCTTTCTGTGGAATCCGCCTGTCCGCGCTGGTCAGACTGCCCCGATTCTTAACAATCTGTTCCGTGTCCCTTGGCGTTTCAAAAGAGTCCCGCCTCTGGGGAAGATTACGCCAGACCCGGCACTGGGTCTCCCGAGGCAGGACACTTGCTGCAGCGCAGCCTTCTTTCCGCACAGCTCGGCGCGGGGCGCGCGCTCGTGCGTGGCGCGACAGGCGTGGCAGGGACCCAGACCCCTCAGGCTATCCCCGCAAACTCTGACCTTTCCGTGGGTGGTTAAAGAACTCCCTTGAATCCACGCATTTGTGCTGATTGGCGCGTCTCAGCTGCTCGATGGTCTCCTCTGCGGTGGTTTTTCCAGGCCTCAGAGAAGCTCCTCCTTTCCTGGTAAGATGCAGCCTTCCCTCCGGGAGAGCTCACCGCGGCCGCCGCAGTGCTGGCCGCCCGGCCAGGAAATCCTGTCCATCGGACCCTTCCCTACCTTCCTTGAGAGCTCCACTGCCCCTTAGCTGCCAATCAACATTCCCTGAGCAACTCAGACGCTGCCTTTATCTGTTCTGGGACCTGGGTCAGAACACGTCTGTCTGTTCGGTGGCCATCTTGTCTCCTGTCTGATTGATGTTTCTAACTCTCTATTTCTCTCTCTTCCTCTCTTATGCCTGAGCTCCAGTCACCTCTCAAGGCTATGCTGTTCAGTGTCTGTGGGCTGTCCTCCACTAGAACACCAGCTCCTACCGTCCTGAGCGCCGGGCGGCAGGACCTGAGAGGCTGCTCTCCAGGAGGGAGGGTCCGGGGTTCCGCCTGCGGGACGCTGTGAGCAGAGAGGAGCCGGGAGGCACAGAGACGCCAGTCTCAGGCTGTGGGCTCTAGGCGCCTCAGACACGCCCTGCACAGCAAGAGTGTTGAGTCCTAGGCCTCCTCCGCCTCCTTCCTCTCAGGACCAGTGTGCTGAAGCTCTATTTGTTTGTTTTTATGTTTTCAGATCTTTTTACAGATGCTTCTGAGACTGAAAAAATGGCCAAAAGTTTAGAAGATTCTGAAGGAGTTTATTTTGTTCCATGTTTTAGTGGTTTGCAGGTATGTAAGAAATAGTTAAGAACAATTAAACATTTCTCTCCCCATGCCCACCTCTAAAATTATGTATTTGCCATGCCCTTACCTGAAAATTTGGGTATTTAATAGACTAAGGCAAAAGGTACATTCTAAGGCTGATAAGTTATGGTTTGACATAGTATGAATTCCACAAGAGAGCACAGCTAATTCAGCTGGCTTCTGCTTGGAGCCACTCCCATGTGTAAACAAAAAGTCAGCAGGTTTATCATAGAACTTTTACATAAGACCCAGAATTATTTTATTATGACCAAAAGAGTCATTTCCCAGTGAAGGGAATCTATCAGTAGTTAAATGAAGTGTATCATTGAGAATTAGAAAAATAATGTAAGGTACACACACACACACACACACACACACGCTCTCCCCCCACATCTGTATGTGTATGTTTTACAGTTCTTTGTAAGTTATATTAAACTTCAAAAAAAAAAATCAAAATTTCTTATCCAGTTGGTGTGGCTTAGTAGTTGAGCATCAAGCTATGAACCAGGAGGTTACAGTTGGTTTCCCAGTTAGGGCACATGCCCAGATTGTGGGCTCACTCCCTAGAAGGGGACATGCAGGAGGCAGCTAATCAATGATTCTCATCATTGATGTTTCTACCTCTCCCTCGAAGAACCTCTCCCTTATTCTCTGAAATCAATTGAAAAAAAATATTTTTTTTAAATGAAAAAATTTTATTGTGATATATTGGTTATTGCCTAATCAAAAAGGGAATCCAGTAAAAGACTTGATTTTATAATATTTAACTTTGTTATTGAATTGAAAGATCTGTGATATTACTTTTAATATGCTTATTGTTACAAAGGCTTTGTAAAATACTCAGATATATTATGAACAAATTCCCTTCATTTTTTTTTTTAGAAAGCTTATACCAGTCATTTAAATGGTTTTTTCCTTTCAAAAAATAAAAATTTCTTTTCCTTCTAGACCATCCCTTGCTCTGACAATAAGTTACAAAAAAAAGTCTCAAATTCATAAGTTTAGATCATAGAATTTAGACGCTAGTGAAGAAAAAAAAATAGATCAGAATGGCTTAAGTCTCTAAAAGTACCGTATTTCCAAACTAGATTTTTGAAATGAGCATTATTTTAATATCTGTCCTACTTTCTGTATACTACCTCTATTGCATCTTCTGCAGGATGAGGGGAGGCAGCTAAAATGCCATCCACCACATCAGAAAGAGTGAATAATTCTGATTGAAGTTTAAGGAGGAAGGTGACATGAATAGTGATCAGCAGAGGTGGGATTTAATTAGGTTACTGTGGATCCTCCCATTTTAAAAAATGTGCTGATGGACTTCATAGTGACCGTATCTTGTCAACTCTGTGTTTTCCTCCTCTATCAATTCATATATCTGTAAAAAATAATATGTAATAAAATCCTATTTAATAAAAGGGGAATATGCAAATTGACCAGCACTCCAACACACAAGATGGCCACCCCCAAGATGGCTGCCCCCATGAGGACATAAGATGGCTGGCAGGAGAGGGCAGTTGAGAGGAACCTGGCCTGCAGAGGAGAGCAGTTTGGGGGACCAGGCTGGAAAGGGAGGGCAGTTAGGGTGACCAGCCGGGGAGGGCAGTTAGGGGCAATCAGGCAAGCAGGGGAGCAGTTAGGTGTTGATCAGGCTGGCAGGGGAGTCATTAGGGGATGATTAGGCTGGCAGGCAGAAGTGGTTAGGGGAATCAGGCAGGCAGGCGAACGGTTGGAACCCAGGAGTCCTGAATTGTGAGAGGGATGTCTGACTGGCCATTTAGGCTCCATCCCCTGCCGTATGGGATGTGCCTAAACAGGTAGTCAGACATCCCTAAAGGGGTCCCAGATTGGAGAGGGTGCAGGCTGGGCTGAGGGAAATGCCCCCTCCTCCTTGTGCATGAATTTTGTGCACCAGGCCTCTAGTATATAATAAAAAAGATAGAGAAAACTATTGCAGATATGGTTTTAAGTTTCATGTTGATCACAAAATGCTCCTGTTCTACCATGACTGCAACCTGGCCATACTTTGGGGTCGGGAGGGGTGAGGAAGCCTGCAAAGCCAAATATTTCCCAATGTAAAATAAAAATATTAACTAGAGACCTAAAATTAACAATATTGATGGTTAGCTGCTTAGAAAATAGGAGAGAGATTGCCTATAAGCTGTGTATATCAATAAATAGAGAAAATAAAGATTATGGGAATGGAAAGAAGGAAGGAACAAGTACAAGTGGTACTACCTTTAATTTTAGAATATTTTCACAGCTATAGATAATGGATGGCAGGATGGTAAAGGTTTCTAATAGCCTCAGTTTCTCAAGGGAATCTGCTAACAAAGGGTTGCTGGAGAAGATTTAAGGTGAGTGAGGGTTCTGGGGCCAGCCAGTTCAGGAAGTGGCAGAGGGGTGGGGGAGCAGCAGGCAGTGTACAGGGCATTACTTGGTGCAGTCCGGTGGTGGTGCTCTAGCAGGGCTGTGATCTGGGGGAGGTGGTGATGATGTAGAGTGTTCACAGCAAGTGTCAGAGGCGAGAGTCAGTGGTTCTACTTGGCATGAAAGTTCCTGTGATGGTGGCAGCAAGAGAGAGGACAGGGCTATGAGCTAGTGCCAGTCTTCAAGGATTAGTCATGCTGCTGTGAGGGCTCATAGGTATGAGAAGCAGGCTTCCTTGTGTTGCATGCCCCTGAGGACAGACTGGGAAGAGCTCAGGGCCAGCTGTGCAGTTCTGAGTATTCTGTTTTCTTGCTTCTCTATACATCTGCTTTTCTCTTCTCAGCAAAAGCTTTGCTGGATGTCCTTTCTTCCTCATAACTTCTGCTTGTCATGATTTCCCCTATGTTTTCTGCTTCTTCACAATTTGTAAATACACACAGCCTTTTTCTTTCTTTCTTCTTTTTTTTTTTTTTAAAATATATATTATTGAGTTTTTACAGATAGGAAGAGAGAGGGATAAAAAGCTAGAAACATTGTTGAGACACATCAATCCGCTGCCTCTTGCACACACGCCATTGGGGATGTGCCCGCAACCAAGGTACATGCCCTTGACCAGAATCAAACCGGGGACCCTTCGATCCGCAGTCCGATGCTCTATCCACTGAGCTAAACAGGTTTTGGTCACACAGCCTTTTTCTACCTTTTACATCCTTTTAATTTTATCCTTTAGTTCCCATTGATGGTCTTTTCCTAGGTGTTTCCTAGTTACAATTTCCAGGGAGGGAGTCTGATTGAACCACTTTTTTTTTTTTCCCAAACTTTGATAGACTGGAGCCAGTTGTGCCCTCTCCAGGCATGCAGTGGCTGGGATACTAGGGCATGAGGTGTGGCTGCTTCAGAGAACAGTGCTGTGGGTTCGAGCAGTTTCCCTACAAAGGGATGTGGCCAGCAAGTACTGTGAATGCCATCTCTGGTTCAGGGAGTGACTGGGGTATCTGAGCAGTGGAAAGGTGAAAGGAAATACAGCATGATGTTGATGTGCAACCAGGCATGCAGGGGGACAGAGAAGTGTCTGCTAACAGTAGATGCATAGTGGCCTACAATGGTCAGGGGAGTCAGTATAATCTCCTTCTGTTCCTGTGGTATGAAAGCCTGAGGAACCTATACTGAATAGCTACAACTGAAGCCATTTGCCCATCCTAGAGCCAGTTTGTTACAGCACCCACAAAGTAAGTGGAGGAAACTTCTCAGAATTGGATATGAGTTAGGGGAATCTATTTCAATAGAAGGAAGCATTTAGATGGTTCAGTGAATGGGTTGTGAAGACAGTAGTAATAGGAGGGGAGTGGATAAAATAAATATTGTAGTGGTAGCTAAGCTATGCATTCTTACTGTGTATCAGGCTTTGTCCTAAATTCTTCACATGCATTACCTCATTTATTCCTCTGTAACTCAGTAAGATATGAGATACTTTTTGGATTCTGCTCTGAAGACCAGAGACTTAAGGGTTTGCTATTAAATCCGCTTGCCCAGTCTCACACACTATTGAGCAGCAGCTCTGGTTTTAGGATTCAGGTGTCTGGACTTCCAGGTCCAGGTTATAGTCACCTCTGCCATACCCTCTCATAGCAGAATGTAGATACCAAGACAGCAGAATGACACAGCAAGTGCCAGAGGAATGAATGTGCTGTCAGGTCGTGGTGGACTGGGACAGAGGCCTGCCAGCTTGGCAGTCTGTGCAGGGAAGGAGTCTGCAAGTTTTGTTTAGGGTGCCAAACAGAACTTGGCCAGGTCATGCTATCCTAATTGGTGGTTGGTTCTGGGAGGCCCATTCAGTAGCAGTGGTAGTGACATATTTGAGGTATAACTGGGGGCTGTCTGCCCTGACCAGGTATGAGCAGGACCTGAAAAGGACCTTCCCAGTGTTTTTTTCTACCATATCATCCCAGGAGAATTGGACTAGCTAATGCAGGGATATTGTAACCTAACAAGGGATTTTTAAGCTTCAGTGGAATTTATTACCCCTCAAATTGGCTTATTAGTTACAGTGAATTATGTTCATAGTTACTTGTACACAAGTGATTTCAAGCCATTCATATCTGAATTCTATGTGGTAGATTAGAAGAAATAATTTTTATGCAGAGAAACCCCATAGTATCCTAGGGACTAAAGGAATGGGCAGAGTCTGGCCTGTCTTGTAGACCAACTTCACTGTATAAATCAACTTTTACTGAGCTAATTATCAGAAGATAGTAGTGAACTTGAAAATTATCAAGATAAATTCACAATAGGAGGCAAATTATAGCTACAGTAAAGATAAGATATAATGTAGAATTTCTTCAGTTAAGTAATTAGGAAAAGTATTATTTGTTCATTGATAGGATGTGTATCAATGAGCAGATGTGGAGGGCCACACACAATAGAGTTTCCATAAACACACATACATACCTGTGATTATAAATTGATGTAATGGGGAGTTAGAGGCTTCCACAGAAACATATCAGTGAGAACTGGTCTAGTCTCTGGGGTCAGGAACTTTCCCAGAGGAAGCTGAGCCAAGTTTCAGAATGGTAAGTAGGAGGCGGTAGAAAGTTTTCCAAGTAAAAAGATGATATGTGAGTGCTTGAAACAAGCAGGTGTTTTTTTCTAGGGACCATCAGTTCCTGAGAGCACTGACATGTCCCTGTCATGACCTTATGTAAGTGTGCCAAATTCCTCTGTCTACTTCCCCATGAGATTGCAAGCTTGGCAGGAATCTGTTTTCTGTCCCAGAATTGTCTTGCATTTCAAAGATGAATACAAATTTCATTTGATTAATACTTCCAACTTAAGATTTTGACTCTTTAAAAAGAAATTTGAGTAATCCTCACCCAAGGTTATATTTATTCATTTTGGAAAGAGGGGAATAGGGATAGAGGTCTATCAGTTGCCTCTGGGGATCAAACCTGCAACTTAGGTATGTGTCCTGATGGGAAATGAAACCCACAATCTTTTGGTATTACATAGGATGACACTCCAGCCCACTGAGGCACACCAACCAGGGCAAGATTTTGACTCTTAAAAGACAGATGTTAGGCTGGGTCATTTCTTATATTAGAGAACAAGACTATAAGCTAAGAAATTGAATACTAGATTGAGTGGTGACATATTGGGTGTAAGTAATGACACTGAAAAACACATTTTTTTGCATTATTATTCTTTATCTTGAGTCTAACTTATGTCTTCAAAAAGCTCCTTTATTCAGTGAACAACTTTATGTGTAAAAACCCTACACAAAGCTGGAGAGAAGGGGGTACAGAATTATTTTTCATTGTCTTCATTAATAAAGCTGGGCTGTTAATAATTGGTCACTCTGTACTGCAGTGCCTTTTCTTGATTGGATCTCAATCAGAAGCCCCAGGTAAGTCCATGTCAGTTCTCAAACTTGCTCAAGCCCTGTTAAAATGTTATGGTAATATTTAACATAATTTTGGGCTGTCATTTATTTTAAAGCTACTTAACTATAATAGTGATTTTTTAAATGTGTTCATTTTTATTGAATAATATGTCTTTCAATCTATAGATGTGACTTAGAACAATAAAAATATATTCTTACTATCTCTTACTTTAGGCTCCATTAAATGACCCCTGTGCATGTGCCTCTTTTATGGGTTTGAAGCCTTCCACTAGTAAATACCATCTTGTACGAGCAATATTGGAGTCCATAGCTTTCAGGTACTAAAACGTGCTCTTAACTCCTTTCTCCCCACATGATATTTCTGTTTTCTTTTATTAGTTTCTACAAAACTAGAAATTTCTTAATTTTAATCAAGAAATTGATTATACCTTTAGTTTAATTCATGCTGCATATGACATAGTCTATTATTACTGTTAATTTCATATCATTTCTTATTTTTTCATATTAAATAGTACTGGTACCCCTTAGATTTGATATCTGAAAATTCAGTGATTTTAAAAAATATCCAATTTCCTAAGCATAAGAGATTTAAAATTTGGACTTTCAAAGGTTTTTGTATTCATGAAGGAGAATTTTAATATGCTTCTGTGATTCTCAAATATTGAATTATCAAAATTATTTTATGTATATTTTCCTGTGTCTTTTTTTATGAGGCAGGTGTAGCTTATTAAAATAAAAAATGTGGCTATCGTGAATATGGAAAATTCAAATGTTTAAAATAAAATTTCCAGTGATTATAAAATAGAGTACATGAAATTTGTGCACTTGGGGCGGAATCCTTCAGCCTGGCCTGTGCCCTCTTGCAGTCTGGGAGCCCTCAGGGGATGTCCAACTGCCAGGTTAGGTCCACTCACAGGGAGTGAGCCTAAGCCAGCAAACGGACATCCCCAGCACTGCTGTGGAGGTGGGAGAGGTTCCTGCCACCACCGCTATACTCACTAACTGTGAGCCCAGCTTCTGGCTGAGTGCACTGACCACCAGGAAGCATTTGCTCCTGGTGGTCAGTGTGCATCATAGCGACCAGTCGTTCTGCTGTCGGGCCAAAACCAGCTCTCTGACATCCTCAAGGGTCTCAGATTGCGAGAGAGTGCAGACCTGGCCGAGGGACCCCACCAGTGCACTCTTGGGACTATGGAGGGACACAGGAGTTAGCCAGCCAGGGAGGGACCGTAGGAGGCAGGTCTAGCCCATCTTGTTCAGTCCCAATTGACTGGACCCCAGCAGCAAACTAGCCTACTGTTGAGAGCATCTGCCCCCTGGTGGTCAGTTCATGTCATAGCGACTGGTCACCTGGTAGACTGTCTCCCCCCTGGTAGTCAGTGCATGTCATAGCAATTGCTTGAGCGGCCTTAGCATATCATTAGCATATTACACTTTGATTGATTGACTGGCAGACCAGACAACCAGACACTTAGAATATTAGGTTTTATTATGTAGGATTAGTTTTATATTTGATTAATTCTATTAGATATAATTTATGGCATGCCATTTTAATAGCTATCTATTAAATTAATGCTTGATTTGTATTTTTATTTGTAGGAACAGTTATAGATAAAATTCAATTTGAAAATAAATTGTGCTCTTTCATATGGAGGTGAGAAGCACAAGCCCTGAGCCTCTTGTTTATTTGAACATCTGCTACCCACTTCTGGTTAGCAGAATATATTTCTTTAATGCCTTTTTGCATATTTTTTATATATCATGTAAATAAAACTATAGTTTTTATTTTTATAGATTAGAAAAATGGAGAATTATATGATTTCCTTTTCTCTAAATAGTTACCTTATTTTTTAAACTAGAAACAAACAATTATATGAGGTGATGCAGAAAGAGATCCATATTCCTGTGACAAAAATCCGGTATGTATTCTTTGTTTCTAACAGATATAATTAGAAATTGGAAGGAAGTGGTAGCTATCATGAATATTTCCATCATTAGGGTTATTGAGTATTTCAACAAGAACTTAAACCTAGATCCTTTGCAACAAAATTCTTGGTCATAGGGATTTGACAAGGAATGAAAAATCGATTTAGGATTTATTGAGAATATAACAAACTTTGGAATTTGGGAAGATCTTAGCACCCATATTATAAAAATCTTTAAGTCTCTTTTGGGCATGTGGCTATCCTTTTTGCATAGAAGCATTAAATTTTCTTTGCTAGAAAGTCCAAATGAATTTGTATGTTGGCTCAGTTCACTGGCCTGTTTTGAACAAATAGAGCAGGTGGAAGAACTGATAGCAGGAATAAGGGAAAGTGTTTCAAGATTACCTAGTTAGGTCCTGTATCTGCAGGTCAATGCTAAGTGATATAATTTTGGAATTAAAAAGTAAAATCAAGGATCTAAAAAATATGGATCTTTAAAAATGGTGTTAATGCTTTTGTTAATGTACTTTATCTGAAATATTTTACTCCCCACAGGGCAGATGGAGGAGTTTGTAAGAACAGTTTTGTCATGCAGATGACTTCAGACCTGATTAATGAGAAAATAGACAGACCTGTTCACCTGGATATGTCGTGCCTCGGTGCAGCTTCTCTAGCTGGTCTTGCTGTTGGTATGAATTTTATAAAAATGAGAGCTATCTTGCAAACTATTTCTTATAGATAGCATTTATCCTCCCAAACTGTAAAATTATAAAGAGGGTCCAGAAAACCTAGGTGTCCACTAAGCTCTACAAGCACATGTACATCATTCACAAAACACTCCCGTGGCCTCCTCGGGTGGGTCTGTCCTTACTTCACTCCTTGAGTCCTAAGTATGAGGCAAGGACAATTAATTCTCAACTGCTTAGCAAAGTAGGGGCTCTGGGCAGGCTTCCTGAGCAGAAAGGCTTGTCTTTGGCATTAAAATAACTCCATTCTTGTATGCCGGGACCGGTTTGGCTCAATGGATAGAGCGTCGGCTTGGGGACTGAGGGGTCCCGGGTTCGATTCCGGTCAAGGGCATGTACCTTGGTTGCGGGCATATCCCCAGTAGGGGGTGTGCAAGAGGCAGCTGATCGATGACTCTCTCTCATCGATGTTTCTAACTCTCTATCTCTCTCCCTTCCTCTCTGTATAAAATCAATAAAAATTAAAAAAAAAATAAAAATAAAATAAAATAAAATAACTCCATTCTTGTATTTATTGAACATTTGTTCAGCACCCTGTTACATGGCAATCACTTCTGAGAATAAAGAGTTTAAATGTTGTAGCCCTGCTGTGGGAGAGCAGTCAGACAAGTTAACTGATTATTTAGTATTTTATTTTTTTTCCCTTTTTTTAAATTAAATTATTATCTGTGTACATATTTTAACATTGCCCCCCCCATACATACTCTCCCTCCCCAGAGTTTTGTGTCCATTGGTTGTACTTAAATGCATGTATACAAGTCCTTTGGTTGATCTCTTATCTCCCCCAGATCTCCCTACCCTCCCAGCTGTAATTTTACAGTCTGCTTGTTGCTTTACTGTCTTTATATCTCACTTTTGATTTGTCAGTTTATAATGTTCTTTAATAACCATAAATGAGTGAGGCCATGTGGTATTTCTCTTTCATTGACTGGCTTACTTCACTCAGCATGATATTCTCCAATTCCATCCAGGTTGCTGCAAATGATGAGAATTCCTTCTTTTTTTATGGCAGCATAGTATTCCATTGTGTAGATGTATCACAGTTTTTTGATCCAATCATCTGCTGACTGTTTCCATATTCTAGCTATTGTAGATTGTGCTGCTATGAGCATAGGGGTGCATATATCCTTTCTGATTGGTGTTTTAAGTTTCTTGGGATATATTCCTAGGAGTGGGATTACTGGGTCAAATGGGAGTTCCATTTTCAGTTTTTTGAGGAAACTCCACACTGTTCTCCACAGTGGTTGCACCAGTCTGCATTCCCACCAGCAGTGCACAAGGGTTCCTTTTTCTCTGCAACCTCGCCAATACTTGTCGTTTGTTGATCTGTTGATGTTGGCCATTCTGACAGGTGTTAGATGGTACCGCATTGTCGTTTTGATTTGCATCTCTCGAATAATTAGTGACTTTGAGCATGTTTTCATGTGCCTTTTGGCCTTCCTTCTGTCTTCTTTTGAAAATATTCTATTTAGGTCCATTGCCCATTTTTTAAATTGGATCATTCATCTTCCTTTTATTTAGTTGTATAAGCTGTTTGTAGATGTTGGAGATTAAACCTTTATCAGTGGTAACATTTGCAAATATGTTGTCCCACACAATGGGCTTTCTTGTTGTTTTGTTGATGGTTTCTTTTGCTGTAAAAAAGCTTTTTATTTTGATGTAGTCCCATTTGTTTATTTTCTCTTTAGCTTCCATTGCCCTAGGAGCAGTATCAGTGAAGAAGTTCTTTTGGCATATGTCTGAGATTTTGTTGCCTGTGGATGCTTCTAGTATTTTTATGGTTTCCCGTCTTATGTTTAAGTCCTATATCCATTTTGAGTGTATTTTTGTGTGTGGTGTAAGTTGGTGATCTAGTTTCATTCTTTTGCATGTATCGATATCTGTCCAATTTTCCCAACACCATTTATTGAAGAGACTGTCTTGATTCCATTGTATATTCGTGCCTCCTGCTTTGGGAGAGCAGTCAGACAAGTTAACTGATTATTAAATTTGGTATAATTAAAAAAAGCGCAAACAGTTGTAGTATTAAGCAAACAGTGTGGCCTTCCCAGAGGTGGCAACATAGAGCTCAGTTTTGAAGTGCACAGATAGCCCGGTGAGGATGAGGGTCAGAACTAAGCTAGCTGTTCAACAAAGAATGCAGCTCCTGCAGAGTTATGTTGAGACCAAGTGTGTTGTCTCACAAAAAAGAAGAATGAAGTGAAGGACAAAAATAATTAGCAGAACTGAAGTTTATTGGGAAAAGGCAGTCCTGGAAAAGGTGTAGCTGGGGTTTCAGGAGCAGCCCAGTGTCCAGAGCTTTCTTTTCATGTTATAGTCAGTAGTAGTTCAGCATCCAAGTTAATTAAAGTCTATCAGTCCATGTGTGGAGGCCTACGTAGCTATAAGCCCCTACAACAGGAACTCCAGCTGTCTATTGTGCGCTGCGTCGGGGAAGAGAGAAAGAGGAAGCTCGAGCATGCTCTTTTTTATATATATGCTTGTTAGTTCCTGATTGGTTATGCTGCCTGTCTTAGTAATATCCATACATTTTAAAGTTCATGCCTCTCTTACATGCCTTTCCTTCTCCGCCCAATTGGGGTATCTTAGTAATTCTGCCTAGTTGAGTTTTACTTTCCCTTCCTATGGTCCTTCCCCTATCTGCCTAGCTTTCTTTAGTCTTCATTTCCCATTCTGATTTGGAGACCCCAACTGCTATTGGAAATGGGGGCAATGACCACTCTAGCAACTTACAACTGAAGAGGGACGTAGCAAGTAGTATTGGAGCTCCATTGGAGGCAGATGATCTAAGGGATTGTGAAAAATAGAAAGATGTCATTCAGAGTTTCATTTCCATGACTATCTGTAGTTTGATGGATCCTAGGCAAGAGAGGATGAATAGTTAGACAACTGAGTATACAAGAGCCAAACAATAATGCTAGGAACAGGTAGCATACCATGGATTTGAGCCTAAATTTTAGGAGATTGAGAATGCAATGTTTTCTCCTTATCTATATAGTCTGTTTAAGAATATCTTGTTTTCTAAGATCTATTTTAAAAGGATTATTGATATGTAGGAAGGCCCATTCTATGATCTGGAACCATATGATCCAGTGAATCTAGTGACCTTTGTATATTTGATCTACAGGTGGTTAAATTGACATAAATTCTGAGCTAAGGCCTGACCAAACAAGTGGAGGCTATCTCTAAAGCCCTGGGGTAAAACTGTCCAATTTGATCATGGGGGACCCCACTGGCATTTACTAAGAAGTACTTGTCTCTATACTGTTGAGTTGTATCTAGGACTGACTGATTCTCTGATCTTGAGAGTATCTGATTTGAAAGAAGCATTACATTCTTCCATGATAAATTAAAGGTTTATGTCTGTCCCTAAAAAACACATATGCACTTATCAGGGTTATTTGAAAACTTTCCTAAATATATATATATATATATATATATATATATATATATATATATATATATCTTATTGATTTTTTACAAAGAGGAAGGGAGAGGGACAGAGAGCTAGAAACATCGATGAGAAATGTCGACCAGCTGCCTCCAGCACACCCCCTACGGGGATGTGCCCGCCACCAAGGTACATGCTCTTGACCGAATCGAACCTGGGACCTTTCAGTCTTCAGGCCGATGCTCTATCCACTGAGCCAAACATCTTAATTTGTCTTATGTCCTGTAGGAAAAACAATACCTGGACTCAGATGGGTCTGTACTCTTCCCCTGCTACTGCCTGTAGAGGGCAAAGGGTAACCAGCAGCCTGGGTGGCCAAGACCCCTCAGGTCTAGGCAGGTCTTGTTCTTCCAGGGGTCCTGGATAAGGAAGACAAGATGGCTCAAGAGTTATTAGTGGGCCACTCAGCCCTGTCACCTTCTTAGGGGTTTTTGACTCTTATACCGCTTTGGGTCACTGTTTCCAGGCATCAGGGGTCAATTTTATATTGCTTACACAATTTTTTATTATTTCTTAAGGCAAAGAAAGCCTGAACATATGGTACCTCAGACACTTCCCTTCCTTCCTACAGAAAATATTTCATTGTATGATGGTAATACTCCCCTTTGAGGACCATGCCTCTCCATCTTCCAAGATTATATTGAGGCCATACTTAAGTATGCTATCTCTTCAGGGTTTGTGAGTCAAATGAATCCCAGTTCCTCAAAATGCAATCTAGGAGTGTGCTTACCTTGGTGGCAGTTGAGTTCCCCATCTGAAAAGAAAAAATGAACGAAGAAGCTACCAGTGCCATCTTGTTAGGGCCCTCGAAGGATGTCTCCTGTGTAGGCAAGAAAGACTGCTTGTTAGTGCACACAAATAGCTGATCTTTCTGGCTAGATATGCTCACAGGGAAGATCCTGATTAACTTCCTACTACTGGTGCTCGCATGTGTATGACCATATGCAAGTATCTGTCGGGCAGTCACACTTTACCGATGAGATTTCCTGTGCTGCCTGTGTGATTTTAAGGGAAATTTTAATGGGAAAGGGAATAAATCCTGGTCTGATTTGTAGAGTGGCCTACGTGGTTCAAATATTTCCTTAGGGAAAATTGGGCCTATTGAAATGACCTAAAGAAAAGTTCCTTAAAAAATTAAACCTTCGGAAGGTTGTCAAGATTATTTGACCAAAAGAAATGATGTTTTTCCTCAGAACCAAGAAATCCTTGCTCTCTGTCAGAGGGACAGTGAGGCCTGGGCATGGAAGGAAGTAGTTATGGTATCTAGAGGTTATATTCTATGAGCTGAGTAAGGCTTATAACCTAGTGGAGACAAACTAAACAACAAGAATTATGACAAATGATCCAGTGGGAGAAAAAATGTTTTAGTACTCAATGATTCCAAGTTAAAGGATGGGAGAAAATTAAGCGTTAGTTGAAGAGTTGTAGATAACATACAAGAATACTAAACAAATTTAGAATTCAGTTCAATTCATAGATGAAAAATAAAACT